ATTTTTTTTAAAAGGTTGTGTTTTAGAATTTAACTATTTAATAAACAATCATAAAAGTTACGATTTAGCAACGCCTTTCCAGTGTTGCACTTTCACTAATAAGTTTCTACTGGAGACGAGCATCGAATCATTGAATCACTGCATTATGGCACTACCGACTGGCGAGGTTTGAACCCGAGACTCCAAGCTAGAAGGCTCGCTCTGCACCACTAGATCAGCTAAGAGGAATGTAGTGCAGATATGATGGCGCCACAGGGTATGTTCAACATTTGCCCACGATGCCAGCCCGCATACGAAGATCTGTTATTACACTCACATGTGTTGGTTGACTAGATAAGATTTGTAGTGTAAACTAAACAGTGTACTAGGATTAATGCCAAACAGTGTTAGGAGGCTATGGCTGAGTGTGTTGTCGTTCTTTATTACACCGCCAGTAAAGTAAACCTATGACTGATGACGTTCGGGAAAAACGACAATTTCAAAACTACCCCTATTAATATTTGTTCTCTAATCTGGGTGGACAATTGAAACAGCTAGGGATCGAACCAGAAACCTCCATGTTTTGAGGTGATTACAAATAAATACTCGGCTACCCCAAGAGACAATTATTGCACTTAAATAATCAAACGATGTGGATAAACAACACATTTCCAAACTACCAACACTTTCCTACCAAAATCGCTTCTTTCATGTTCCATCCCCAAAACGAGTGCCTAGATCATTTTAATCTCCTCCATTCGTCACTTCAAAGTGCTATTTTCTGATTGCATCATTACAAAAGACATAACGAAAACATCATTACAAACAGCGGTGAGTGCTGAGTGCATTACAACATAACGAAGATGCATTTACTTATCTCGAAAAGGGTGAATGCTTTTACCACCAGACTGATTACTAGGGGGAAGTCTCATTTGCATTGCGGGAAATATGTCTAATGTTGGGACAGTGTCGAAACATACGCCGGCAGGCTTAGAAGCTGATTGAAAAATACGCCTCCCGCACGACAACGGGTATTTGGTTTTAATTAAAGTGGAAATATGCACTGTCATTTGATGTAAATGCAGTACTACTTCGTTTGCAAATGGAAAAGTTGGTTAGTAAATTTTAAGTGATTAGTTTTAGCTTGATAGTGGAATTACGTTTCGTTGTTGATGAAACTATGCGTAGCTTGAGTAATTTTTTTACTTAACTTAATAATTTAATTTACACATGAAACTATTATTAAAATGTACAATAGAGATTTACGTTTTTTGTGTATAATATTTAGTTTTACAAAAATATCTTATTTAACGGTCTCACTCAGACGCAGACGTGCCTACATTTTGGTATTCGCTGTTTCTGAAAAGGGAAACTGTAATTGTTACTTCTGGTTGAATAATTTCAAAATCTTATCGTGTAAAAAAATGTTGGTTATTATTGTCTTTATTAAAAATCCTAAAATGTCCATAGGGTAATTTGTTTTATAGGCTAAATGACATGAAACAAAACCTGACCTAGACATGGATTTCATGCTAATACCATAATTTTACAGCTATTCAATCCACATGACGAATATTAAGATAGTGTAGGTTAGTACGTTAAGATCTATCTGGGGTTCAACCTTCTTCATTTCTCCAAACCAAGGCTATTTTTTCCAGAAAATAATTCATCCTTACAAACACCTACAAATAACTAACGACTCTCAATCAACAATGTGTCATAAGTTTCCAATATTGGACATTACGTAAGTGTAAAACAGTTATTTGTACAGCATAATGAGTGTAAACGACACCTGGAGAGGGGAGAGGTAACCAAACACTGACTCGTTGTGGCTTCGTAGGCAAGGTCATGGTGGTCTCGATAACGGACTGATAAGGCGGGGTGACTCACCTGTCTGAAGGTCAAACAAAGTTCGAACATAGTAGTGAAGGTCATAACATACGTGTTATCACGTATTACCATAGATTAAGCGTATGCCTAATCTATAGGCCTACCCAGTGCCAGTGCACTTCACAAAATGCAGTGCTCCACTTTAATTTATGCACGTTTTCTTTTAATTTTTATGCTTTGACTTGGCAAGTATTTTTTTGTAATGAATGTCCGAATAAATTATTTTATTTATCAGATACACCATTTTTGGTGCTGAAAGTGACATATTGGTATTACAGAGAATTTTTGTACAACGCAGAAGAGAAATTTTTGAACTTTGGGAAATGCTATTGATGAATATAAACGGTCTCAAGCGTTTTAAATCTAAAGGTCGATTCACACACATCAGTCCAGTCACAGTTCCGTTACAGTGCAGTTGCAGTCCAGTTACAGTCCAGTCGCAGTTGCATCCGCAATTTCCCAGTCAATTGTCCGTCAGTTGGTTTCAGTCAGTCTTCCGTCTCTAATATTTACAGTAATTTACAGTCAAAAAATTTAAATTTTAAACCTATATTCTATTAAATTATCATTGTCCATCTTGTTGATTGTTACAAACAGTACTCAAAATACAAACGCAACCATTTTAACAACAATAACACTATTTTCTAACCTCAAACAGTTCCGTCAGGCGTCCGAAGAATCAAAAAGTATCGTTGGAAAGAAATCTGAAATTGACTGACGGATGCCAGCAGAGTGACTGACGGGACTGCAACGGATGAGTGTAGATAGCGCAATAGAAAATCCATCAAAGAATATTTTTGATAACTGTGACGTGCCTGAAGTGACTTTACTGTGACGTGCCGTAACTGATGTGTGTGAATCGACCTTAAATCAGAATTTTTTGCATGTGTCAGGCCTCTTTTATGCACGGCGTTTTCCGTCGGGCGGAATCTATCAGAATCTATCGGGCTTTCCGTCGGTGAGTGTTTTAACATGGGATCAAATGGGACCCTTTTATGCACGACGGAATCTCCGTCGCGTTTTAGAATTCCGTCGGAGGCCGACGGAGGACTTAGACTCCGCCGAGTTTCGGCGTTTCGTGGAGCGTGTTTTTACATAGGTTCAAATGGAACCCTTTTATGCAACTGCGTTTTTTTTCGTCGGGCGGAATGTAGTGCTGCCAACCTACCCCACGCTCTGTCATCCACAGTATTGAAATCACCTACGGTAATCATTGTAAATAGAATATCATTATTCATTGTAATTGATTAAAGAGTACAAATAAAGTGATGTAATTAGGGGAAAAATTACTGCATGAGAATGAATTACATTTTTGTTTAAATCCGCGGAATAATACAAACTTACTGTTTCGTAGGAACTTCTCAAACTTTTCCCCATCATTTCGCAGCAACCCATATAGGTTTGTGAAAGCCCTATCCACCCTACGACTTTCATTAACCGGGTGTACAGCCCATCTCTTTCGCCGTCGTCTCTCTTCATGTACAAATAAGTATACACCAATACACAAGGATCCATCTTGGGTCACTGACGATGGCAAAATGGACGAAGTTGGTAGCACTGACCACCCCCACCACGGGCATCAGCGGATTCCGCTCGGCGGAGAAACTGCATAAAAGGGACATCGATTCCGCCCGACGATTTCGCCCGACCGAAAACGCCGTGCATAAAAGAGGCCTCAGTGGCGTTTTTAATTAAGGGGAGTTGCTACTGAAATCGCTAAAATTGTTATTTTAACTAATTTTTACTTTGTATCAGGCTTTTATACTTAAGAAAGACCTAAAACAAAAAAAACAAAAAAATTGATAAAAAATATTTTTTTAAGGGCCCTAAAAGTGGATTTTATTGTTTTTTCGGAACATTTTTAAAATTGATATTTAAAGAAAACCATAAACCTTACACAAATGGAAATGGTATACTTTTGTTCAGCATCAAAATTTACTTTAACATCACGTATTTTTATTGTATTACAGAAACATTTACTTTTTTTTATAACAGCAAATTTTAAGAATATTTTTAGTTTTTTTAAAATTTTTTGTTAATTTATATTTAAAAAACAATTTTACCAAATGGATTCAAAATACGTGCTCTTTTAGGTTTTTATATGCAAAAGGTGTGTACAAAATTTCAGAACTGTAGCTCAAGTAGTTTTTTTTGGAATATAAAGGTTTTTAGGCTGAAACATGGAAAAACACAACTTTCGGGAAACGGAAGTTTTTCGGCAGATGTGTTTTACTATACAAAATAATTGGCACTTTTTAATAAAAACCATTTTTGGTAATGTTTTTTTTTTACAATGCCATGGTAACAAACAAATAAGAATGCAAAAAGCTATAAACTACAATTTATTTAGGGCTAAGTTGTGAATAACATATGCACATACCTTTTTATAAGCCTTTGTTTACATTAGCCTACTCGTCTTTGTCGCACCGTAAAACAGTTTGTTTTATTTTTTTCTCCTAGGTACATGTATGTAAAAATGATTTTGGGTGGTTTTTATGATGTAAAAAGATATATATAATAATTTAGGAACAAAAAAAAAGTTTTTAATTTTTGAAGATTTTTCACTAATTTGAGTAGCGACTCCCCTTAATTTAATTAATTTTTACACATACACTTTTAAGGGAAACTGGTTCAAACCATGTTCACATCCATTTAAGTTTTGCGAATGTGCGACGCATCGAACCCGCCCTTCCCGCACCGAAGTCCGAGACGCTACACACCCACATAACCGTTTTACCATCGAGTAGTAAAAAAAATACTACAACATAAACACCAATCGCATTTTTTCAGTTTGGTTTTTCAAGTAGGGTTTACTTTAAATCTAGATGCAGTTAGTAAGTAGATTTGCCATCGAATATGTACAAAATATAAAATTAAATCATTTTCATTCGACTATTTACAAACGAGTTTATATTGAAAAAACTTCAAGCAAAAGAGTACAAAATATACAAAATAGCAGGATCAATAGACACATTATTATTCTTATCTTTTTTAATGTAAAGATATAAAATAATAGATAAATTTGAAGGTAAAAAACTCATTATTGCTACGACATAAAGTCTAGTATTAACTTATCTAGTTTTAAATATTGGCAGATGACTAGTGAGGACAATAAAAGGCATTCAACTTACTTCTCATGCGAAGGAGCAGCCCCCACGATGGTAGTTTGCTGTCTACATCCCTGGGCTTATATTATTCTGAAACAAAAACAAAACTCGTTACAATATAGCTTTCCCCGATGTCACAGTATATTTAAAGTTTTGGATATCCAGTTAAACATATCATGGAAATCGTTCCGTTCCAATAAATGTGAGTACGTTTGAATAACTTGTTAATTTAACCGCAGGAAGTTTAATATTTAGACAGGGCTGTTATGAAAGTAAGTCAAAGACTATTGATAAGAGTTTGTTGCAATACTAGTGCTATTCCAGAGCTTAAAACGACTGTTTGGATAAAGTATAGCAATTTGTTATTGTACCTTACTAAATCGATATTAGAAATAAATTACATACAAATTTCTTTACGCTAGTTACCTTCTTTTAATTTGCTCTTAAATTTAATTTTGTTCATAAATAATAGAAAGGACGATTTTTATAGTTCTTTGGATGCAATATACTTCGCCATCACAACAATATATTTAATTTTAATCTTAAACACGATAAAGGATAAAGGGGTACTAAATGTGCAGATACGAGAATGCTATTATTAATCGGAACTGTTTGCATATGTGAATTCAGGATTTTAAACTAAAAATAATTTAGCCATTTTTCGTTCTAGGGATAAAACTATTTGGGTCTGCTTAATCTCGGCGACTCATGTATGTACGAAAACGGCCGTTTTTTGCTTTAGTATAACAACTTTTTACAATTTTGACGTTGTTGCTGGTAGCAGACATTTCGCAGACGCCCTCATGCCAACCTCACGCCAGCACGTCAGTGTAGTGACGTATGTTTACAGTGAGTTAATTGTTTGTTCTTCCCGTTTCCGGCAAACCACGGCGGTCCATCAATTCAGGAGGTCTTCAAACAAATCTCAACTTAAACGTAGAGATAATCCAGGATATTAGTTTAAATATTTAAAAGGTCCCTGCATTTCTAAAGCGGTCCATGTACAGTAAAATAGCATCGTTATTGGGAACATTTTAGTTACATTTGAAGTAATTAGCATAAGTACAGTGTTTTTTTTTTTTTTTAGTTTATAAAGGGAATATTTTAGTTTTGAAACCATTTAGTTTTCAATGGGATCCATACCAGTTTTACAATAACAACTTGTAAATGACGTTTTAAACTTAACCCAATAATTACGATGATAGCTCCGTGTCCTATCATATACTTTATTACCGATCAGATGATATGCATTGTTGAATTGTTTCATATGTGGATTAGTGTTACAGGGAGACTCCAAAATAAATTCCCAATAAGACTAAAGCTTGTAGACGACACACAGCTTTTTGACAATGAAGTAAAGAAACCAGGGATACTTAATTAGGAGCTGACTTTGTCCATACAGTGTATCTTGGTACCTGTAATTTAGGTGGTATTAATAAAAAACACAAAAAGTCACATACAAATTACATTTTCTGTTTGAATTATTTTGACGATAAATCTCTTTAGTGTTTGATACCGATATTTATATAGCTCGTCAACTTGTTACCTCTAGTTTAAAAATGTCAAAATATAATTTAACATTTACAATATAATATATGTGTCTGAAATTGAAAGAGATTAGCCTAACAAAAAATGGAAGGATTAATAATTTGAAAGATTATTTACACAAATTTACTGCCATCATGAACGGTCGCATTTAACCATAATCAGCCCTACAATGTATAGAGGTTTAGTTATCACTGAAGAAGAGCCTTTCCACTGTTTGCTAAACTATATATTTTTCCTTTTTGGGTTCCCACCGATGTAAGTAAACTTCAAAAGACAATCTAAAACACACTGAGCTTATGTGTTGCCATTTCTCAATATGCGCCCTAATTCAATAATAAATAGGAAAGAAACATTTAATAATTTTGATTATGATGTACCTATTTACTTGCACTTATGTTATGTATTGTTAGTATGTTGAGGGTGGACTTTGGCAGATTCAAACGGTTGAATTAAAATTGATCCCTGGTTAATCACGTGATAAAGTGCCTGAAAGCCAGTCAGTTCAGTGAGCTAAACAGTGTACAATAAACGATTTATTATACAAGCGTATGGAGGAGCATTTCTATTGTACTCAACGACTTCACTCCAATTGGAAAAAAACTGTCAAATAAGCTTTACAGCAGTTGAAAAGAGAGTTAACAACAGAAGAAACACCTATAAGGGCAATTGCCCAAAACATTTTTCGTATATACCAGGGATTTGCCCGACCTCTCCAAAGTCATCTACAAGCCCCAAAACCTCAAATTGGCTAGGAACACAGGAAAGCATTTTAATAAAGGTTTAGACTTCCTAATATATAAAGGGAAATGGAATTTACAAATTTAAAAGATTAAACACTTTTAAGGGATAGTGGGTTAAAATTTGTAAAATGTGTGTAGACATACTTGTGATCGGACCTGTTTCTCTCACACAAAAAACGAAAGCCAAAGCCAGAAACACGTCAAATCTTTGGATAACTAAATCTAGCGGCACGTCTTTTGTTTCTGAAAACAGATTTTTGTTTTTATTCAATATTTGATGAATATACATAGTCATAGAATGTCTCCGTCTCCCTGTGTCAGGTAGGGACGAAGACAGCTTGTTATACCACGGCTACTGTTCTCCCTCCTCTTACATCAAGTGTAGGGGAATCTGGCTTGTTACCCGCGAAAACATCTCACAGTTTCCCTCGCAAAGAGCGGCCTACTCTGCTACTCTGCATTAAGTGCGCGGCGTCCTGACTGGGGCGAATACCATTGACTATAGATACTTGAATTGTTACTCTATTGTATTATCTACCTATTTTGATATGTGATTCATTTTGGATTACGTTTGAGCCCACTGATGTCAACTGTGTTTTTGTTTAAGCTTATATTCCCAATGCAAAACCCATTAAATTTACAAACAATTTATGCTTATTAAACCAATGGACTAGCATAATCTAGCCTGACCAAATTTTTATTTAAATGAGTTAGAGGTGAAGAATCTTAATCGGTAATTTGATTTTGTCAGAATAATTATAAAGCTGGTGGAACGTCAAAAATTTAAAAAACACACACTTTATATATTGAGATAAAACAAATATTAAAAACCCTTGATTAACACGGCTGACAAATGAAAAAGGATGAAAAATGTTTTGAATCTGTGGTCCCGAATACATGTTGTATAGTTTTATATTTCATTAAGAAGTTCTGAAGACGTAATTTTACACTCTCAAAGTGTATCTACAGCTCAAGTTCTGTTTTAAACTACCTAAATTGCTACTCTATGCCAACATCTAACACTATTGTCATTGAATAGTTGATATTGAAAACCAATAGACGTTGATTATGAGCCTGAGACTACTTAAATTTTGCGTACTCAGGAACCACTACCAATAATCGTTAAACTTTTTCATGGGCAACGGAAATTACATGGTTAAAAGTACGGTTTAAAATTTGGTGGAGGCATTATACATTTTATTTTATTCCATACGCTATAGGCCTACTGTACACTGCACTTATTTAATCCGATTTCTTGATTCAGCCTCAAATTTTAAGTGGGTTAAAATCACCTCGTTACCAACTAATAAATGATTCAGCATTTACAATTAGCATGATTCGAAACCAGGACTCCGATATCAACATCATACCTACCCACTTCTCAACACCATATACACCAGATAGCAAGCAGTGAGACCGTCTAGCATAGCCACTCAACCGATGAATAAGGACGAGGGTGACTGCTTCTTGAGTTCTTGAATGAACCGTAGGAAGGCGATAAGAATATGAAAGGTCAGGAACTGAAGAGCTGAAGAGGGAGTAAGGAACTGGTAAAAGGGGAATGAAAAATCGACAAACATAACACAAAAGACAGGATTTACACTCCGAAAACTCAAGGGTGATTTCTCTTCACGCCTGGCCATGATTAAGTATTTTGACATTTCCTATTCTCACCTTTGGTTCTCGTACGTAGAGTTAAACGGTAAAGTCGTGACTTGGGTCCATGTAGATAGCGAGCGCGAAACTAGTTCATGCTAAACTTCGAGATAAATCACGGGTACTGAATAAAATTTAGCTGGTTTAGAATTACTCACACAGGTACAAATACATTACAGGCGTTGTGGAGGGATTTTTTTCAATGTGTATAAAACTGTGGTGAAACTGTTGTTGCTGTTGATAGAGAGGTTGATGAAGACACCTTGGTTATATGTTATAATTTTGTTAACAAATAGCCTATTACAGATATTTTGTAAGGATAAAAAATGTCATGTTTCATTAAATTGCAATTTGTTTCAGGAATCAGGACACATGCATTCCCACTGTTTTCATCTATGTTCAGGAATATCAATGCTTCAAATTAGTCCAATTGTTATAATGTTTAATTACCCTTTAAAAAGCTATAGTTTTTATTTTTAAATTGAGTTATGGTTAAATTGGAGGTATTAGGCTCGTTTTCGTAGTTTGAGTGTATAAATAAATTAAAATCCTTAAGCATATTATAACTAAGTTTTTTTCAAAGATGTTGGTAAAGTCCCAGTTCGAAAATCGTTTAAAAACTAAAGTAAATTCGCCATCACTTGAGAGTTAATAAATTATTGATTAACAATTGTTTTGACTTGAAACAAAACACACATCCTGTAGGTGGATACTTAGAATAAACAAAAAAGAGATGCTTTTGTTTCTACAGCAATAAATAATTAAGTATATAATATAACAAGTTTTTGAACAACATTTTTTATATTCTTTCGTAGGCCTATGCTAACGAAAAAAACCTAACCTTCATATAAAACCAACCAAATAAACTGAGAAAGGTAGTTAAATAAGTAAATAATTATCACTATCAAGCAATTATCTCTTACTCGAAATAGTAGAGAAACAAGTCAATTGTTTAATTTTCACACATTAAATATAAGAAAACTAAGTATTTGTGTTGGATATATTTAACCAAAAATACAAATGATAGTGGGTATTTAATGAGCTTGCGAATTATTACAGATATTCGGGGATCTTCTGCTAAAAATCTTAGTTAACGATTAATTTTAATAAACAATACGAAACTCTTTACAGCGAAGTAAAATCCCAACAAATATTTATCATCAGTTAACCAAATGGACATTTCATAATTACAACATACTTACGTAAATAGCAATCCAATAGTCCATAACACTACAAGCGGTCCAGATGTTAAACCATGTCTAATACACGCAATAGAAACGAACAACACTTTACAACACCGAACCGATAGGCTAGCGCACCACGGACCGACTGAAGCGATCTCCAACAATGCATTGAGCAGCTGGCATTAGAGGAGAGGGGGAAACAGCTGATCCGATTGTTGTAGTCCACTAAACACTAAACAACCAAAAACATAGCAGCTCATATAGTTTAATACTTGTTATTGTGAGCTTGTTGATGGTTTAGCTGCCAATGTAACGATATAAATTATCTCTTGTGCAAAATTCGACTATATTTTGTTTGTATAAAATTTTCCTTCAAGAAAATAATTTCAAATCAAGAACTAATAAGAACTTTATTAACTTACTTTAGCAAAATAATTCACCAAGTATCAAATAATATATTTGCAGTGACTATTTTAGATCTTCGGGACATATACTGTAAGACTAAATTGTATGTTAGGAAATATAGATGAGATGCTATTAATTTTAGTGAGGGTTTTAACCCATGATACTAATGACTATTACTTACAACTGTTAAACGTTAATTCAGAGGTCACAAATAACAATCTATTGAACAATTAGTGCTGATAGGTTATAAAGGGAACATATTACAACTCCTCCATATAATCGCAAATAATACCAAAAGAGAAGATTTTATGACGTAATATTGTAAAAAAAGATTTGAATACAAATATATTAAACAATACGGACTATTTTCTTTTTTAAATTGGCGATTTGATCAAAAGAAGAGAAATAATGTGAACCCGGCCTCGAGTTCTTAAATCAAGAAATTAATTTCCTATAATTTATAAAAATTCAAACCTAAATTATGTGAAGGCAAATCATTTGAGCTCTATGGCCTGCTTAGTTATTAATTAATTAACTACAATACATGGTACGGGCGATGTTGCGGTTAAAGGCACACCCAAAACATAAAATACGTTTAATGTAATTCAATCCTACTTTAATCGTGGTTTATTTTTAGGGGGATTACTGGTCTACAATGCTTAATCCGTCAACTATTAAGATGATAATTTGTTTACAATTTAATTTAATATATATTTCTCAGTTTTAGTTGGCTCTGATTCATATATTCATTAACATGTTTGAGAATCGTTTACTCAAAACTATCACGAGCTTACAGATTTAAATTTCTCTTAAAAATCCCTACCTAAGTCATTTCTACGTATTAAAAATATACTTAGAGGAGCATTTCTACACACATTATTGCAAAGGAGTTCTTTATTTGCAGATCAAAAAAATGTAAAATATTGTTGAAAAAAGAACCTGAAAGCGACGTATAGACAGCAGACTATCAAAGTATGGAAAGACCATTTTGTTCGTGATGTGTAGAAAAAAAGTTCCCAGTGGTCTGTTATAAATAAGAGGGTTAACAAATTGATTCTTATAACGGTAATGTAGACTTACTAGTTCATACTCAATGGCCATTAATTAAAATAGTCTATAGAATTATTGGTAGCAATAAATCAGGATACTCGACTTCAGGTATTGTATCGCTTCCTAATAAAATACCATACATACACTTGGGGATACGCCACTATCTCCAACTTTTTTTTTATTATTTTATTTTTGTCAACCTAGTTAGTATATTTTGTTTATACTAGACTTAGTTAGAAGATTTAGGTACAAAAATATTGAATTTATAACTTATTTACTAAATTTATATGCGTTTTTAGTTTTTTTCACCAAAATTTTTAAGAATTCGTTATTGAGAATAACTTTTCAACTACTGATCAGAATTTATTTCCTGATTCAGGATGAAATAATGAGTAATTCTGTGTATAATCGTTATGGTAACTAAAAAAACCAAATTTTTAGGACACCTTTTATTCAAAATATAAAAAAGCTGAAAAAAATATTTAAAATTTTTGCGTAAACATAAATATTTTTAGTAAATGTAATGCTATAGGGCTTACTATACACACAATCCTTTATTACTATATAAAGAAGGTCTGGTGAAAATTTGAATACTATAAGTATAGTACTAACGGAGTTATTCAAACTTTTGTACAATAATAACCTAAAAAACACGGTATTGAGATAATCGCAGGTGATGTAACAGGTGGTTGGCAGGAGAAAAATTCCCATAACTACACTAATTTATTATTTTATATTATATATAAAAATAGCAAAGTACTTATTTTGTTTTACATAAATGTACCCTACTTTATACCTTCATAATACATAATTATGATACACAATTAAAAGTGTACATATCAGGAACAAAAAAAAATAGTTCAAAATTTTGTTAAATTGCTGGTTGCGGCGTTTTATATTTTATTTTTTTTATACTAGAAGGAGTTGTCAGATTGGCAAACAATTTTAGCTAAATGTTCACATTTAAATGACCTATCTAAAAATGCAACTTTTGGAAAATGTAAAAAAAATTTAAAATATGGCCTACAGATAGTGGCGTATCCCCTTAAGCCTACAAAAAAATACAAATTTAATATATTTGGATTCTGAATGATGCAACAAAATTATCCCTTAGCTCGTTACACAGAGAAAACAGTTATTTGTGTAACTAGTGGGTATTTTTCCTACAGATACTATAAATCATATAAATAATTAGTCTTTCAAACACTGTATAACACGTTTTTAGGTTAGGTTAAATAAAAATTGAACGAAAAGAAAAGGGAAACGCTGATCATAGTCGTAATATCTTTAAGTGCTGCCAACTTATTTTCAAGCGTACACGGTTCACGTGCATAATAAAAGCACGCTGTTTTGTGTTAGTAGGTTAGAATACTACCGGTGTGCGCCAAAGTAAGTCTTTCTGTACTATAATCTACGCTAGGAAGCCCACTTTGTCAGGTGACTGTAGGAAAAGTATAGTGATTACTTTTTCTAGTAATTTTGCAAAATTAAATTGGTGTATAAAAGTTCAATAGATAAAAATATTCATTCTATGGGCTCAAGTCTATTCTTCGCTCAATGAAAGTAGTATTTATGATTTATAAAGGTCATAGCGAGAGCAGTAATCTTCTTCAGTAAGCTTTATTTGTAAGTGTTCTCTCTATGACCTTTATAAATTCCATGATGTTGCTTTATGCCATCACTAAAATACAATTAGTCTTCATAACGGTTGAAACAAATCCCGTTGAAAACGATACAACCCTCCCTAACTGAAGCAATCAAACATTGCACAATTGATCGCATGTTAATCCTGACAATACAAATCTCTAAGACAAAGCACGCACAGCGGGACATTCTGCATTTCCCTGACAAGAAACAGGTTCCGCAGTCGGTGTAACGTGTTGACAGCGCGAACTGTGTCGTTGTTGATGCAAATCACGGTACCGGGAACCGGTTGACACTGTCTGGCGTGGTCCGACATCGGCTACGTCATGCGGACTATGGGAGAAGCTGGGAACCGTGGAATGGGGATTGGAAACAAGGAATTGGTGTTATTGTTGACTTGTTGCGCTGGATAACAGCTGTTTCTTGTAATTAACAAAGTTATTCAAGAACGATTGACCTCCTCTACGTATCTGATTCTGCCTTCAGCAGAACTTGAACGACTTGAAGACTATGGGAAAAGCTGGGAACCGTGGAATGGGGATTGGAAACAAGGAATTGATGTTATTGTTGACGTGTTGCGCTGGATAACGGCTGTTTCTTATACAATTAACAAAGTTATGCAAGAACGATTGACCTCCTCTACATATCCTGAGTCTGCCATCCGCTGCGACTTGAAGAATATGGGATAAACTGGGAACCGTGGAATGGGGATTGGAAACAAGGAATTGATGTTATTGTTGACTTGTTGCGATGGACGGCTGTTTCTTATACAATTAACAAAGTTACCCTAGAACGTTTGGCCGCCTCTACATATCTTGAGTCTATCAACAACTACGTCTTGAAGACTATGGGAAACAGAGAAGCGTCAAATTTCAGATGTTTCCGTTGAGTGTAAATGCTATCAGTGGTTGTGCTTGATCACGGTGGTTCCTTGTACAATTATCAAAGTTTCCCATGAATGTCTGGTCATCTCTACATATCTTCCATGAAAAAAAAACTTGAAAATTTGGATTTTTAAATATATAACGAAAATTATAGGCCTACATAGATAAATTATATGTAAAATCTCTTTGATGTGATGGATTAAAACTATTCACGAATACTTACATAAATTTCAATCACGCAAGGACGAATTTAAGGACTGTGGGTTTGACATCATTCTATTTATATTTCCTTTAAAATAATAATGACAGTTAAATGCTAATTACAGAGATTTATAAAATTAAGAACGTTGTTGATACAACATTTGGTGGGAAGTGAGCTGGTCTTTTGGGAAAGTATGGGACTTTGGTCCCTGATTTCCCGAAGTTATAATACCGCCGATTGCCTATGGATTTTATCTACGTGATAAATGACCACGACCTTCTAGGGCTAGCCTGTTAGTAATGTGATACACTGTTATGAAATAGAGTCTAGCGTCATAGGATGTGAAAGTAGAGTAAAGAAAAAATTGAACAACCACTGTATCAAGAAACCAACCAAAAAATACATCGTGAAATTAAACATAGAAAATCATTAAAGGGGGATATATTTTGTACACACATTACAATACGCTGATCACTACTTCTCTGTAGTAAAAGCAAACATTTAGAACCTGCAAGACATCTCGGAATACTTATAGCGTGATATACAACCAACCTGTGATGTATATTAACGCTATAAAACTCAGCGAAACGCTGGAAACGTAGGCGAGAAACGTTATGCAAATTAAACGCAGAGACTTGGACTAGAGACCAGTCGATGTCAACGGAACTTTGCTTGACCTAACCTCAAACAAGATAGTAACAGCTGATATATAACTTAAACAATAATTTGACACAAGGTCTTATTGTATGTGTCTTGTATTAAGTTTAGATAGAAACTGCTAATTGAAGTTAGCCCAAGATTCGCATTACATCAAGCTTTTACATTGATAAAAATCAAAAGCATGTTGCCGTTTTCGTATTTGACTTAGAGATTCGTCTAATGCCTTCAAATTTATGAGAAGAGCCTTTAAATCAATTGACTGCTCTTCGTAGTATCCACCCTAAAGT